AGAACTTAGAAGACAGAACCTACACAGAACCTAGAGACAGAAGAACTTCGCTGGAGAGAACATGGCAAAAGATCCTGGACAGAACCTGGCTACAGAACCTGGCTACCGAACCTGGCTGGAGAACCGAGCGAGAGAACATGGCTACAGAACCTGGCTGGAGAACCTGGAGAACCTGGCTGGAGAACCTAGCAAGAGAACATGGACACAGAACTTGGCTGGAGATTGTGGCTAGAGATCCAGGCAAGGCTGCTGATCAACTGAATGCTGTCTCCGTGTCATTCCTTCTTGCCGACTCCGTCCACACCTTTGGGGACCCCTGGACCTGCTGGGGTTGGACCCCAGCACTTTACTTGATGTTTATTATCTATCTCACTTTTTTGTAACCCAGCACATGTTCTGATTTGAAGTGTTCATCCAACTTTATTACCTGCACACTTTTTACTCCCTTAACCATTTTTTAGATCTAATAAAAAGTATATTGCAAGACTAATAATGACAATGATAATATTTTATTTATCCATGTTTCAAAGTATTACCATATATTATTTAATTAATCTTATTTAATGGACCTGTATAAAACAAGTACTAGTAGAGAAGTGGATTTAGATAAAACTTCTGTCCTGTGCTAAGGTGATGTCTATGAATTTCTTGACAGATGGGCATATATCATGCATGAACTCTACCTTCTGGAGAATATTCATATTTATTTTATTGCTGGGCAACTCCAATTATTACAATGTCTCTTCTTTTATAAAAGTCCAGAGCTCCATGGAGATACTGTTTAGGACTATTCTGGAGATAGTGCTTCTTAATTCAATTTCATATCTACATTTTCTGAAGACGAAGTCATTTCATTTTGAAACTTCTAGGGTTGGTCATGTTAGAACCATTGTGATTTCAAATTGAATCTTTATAACACAATTAGAAACACAAAATAATCATTTGCTCTGTTTATTTTTCCATTTTTCTATTGTTTTAACATCAGTGTTCATGTTTTCAGTATTACAAACTACATAACCATGGAAAATATCACAACACCTCATTGAGCCACAGTTTTCTTACATTGAAACCAAATATAAACAAGAAAATAATAAAATTAATCTTAAAAATCTCCTAGGGTGGTTGTTGCACTAATGTTCGATATTAATCAAGCATTTGAGCAAGTCCTTTTTAAAATAACTAATCTAATTTAAAAAGTTATAATAAAGAATACTGTTTTTATCTCTCTTTTAAAATTTAAGACATGTTCACTTATGTAATTTATGATGCATCCCTAATAAGCATGCATATAGAAGTTATGAATGATAAAGGTCAAAGTATTTGGTATGTTCTTTAAATATTTTTAAACATATATATAGAATATGTAATCAAATGTGAACATTATAATAGCTGTGAAATACAATAGAATTGCAAAATATTTGGAAGCATGTATTTCTTTACCAATGTAAGCTTTTTTTCCTATGACCAACTCAATTATTTGCTTCTGAAATAAATTAGGTAAAGCTTATTGAGTCTGATCAGCCCTTGTTTTCAAGGGAATTGTAGTTCAATTTCATTTTTAATTAGAATTGAACATTGTGGATTTCTTAGCTCTGGTAAGCAAGATCCAGCAATAAAGTATGTACTTAATTTGTATTAAGTTTCTAAAATCTAGTGCAGAGAGTGAGCAATATGTCTGGTTAATATTTAAACATCTCACAATGTTCCATTGTAGAAATTTCCATTTACAAAAGCTGCCATTCTATAACAAATTACTTTCACTTTCAAACAAACCTGTTATCACAACATGAGCAAAACTTATTCAATTAAACAAGAAAACAAAGTAATTATTTACTCCGCTTTGATGTGCACAATACCTTATAAAATGTTTTTAGAAATGCTTAGGAGAGGTAGGTATGTTGGCTTAACATCATTTTTGCTTAAATATCATTTATTAATAACATATAGGTGTATTCACATGGAAAGACATTTCTATATGGGAAACCATTCTCTTATGAGAGAAAAGAAACTTATTTTCCATTGTGAGAAACCCACGTGGGAAGAAGCCATAAAACATAAGATCAGCTGTGCCAAAGTTCTCTCCTCTTTCAATCTTTCACACCTGTTTCTATTTGTGTGTGTTTGTTCATTGGTGCTCTATCGCTGTTCATCACATTGAGGCTAGTGAGAACTATACATCCAAGGTATCTTTTCTCTTCATTTCTGTGCATTCAAGCATTAAACTGGATGTGTTCTCTGCCCAGTATATTCTCTTAATACAGTAGTGGAAAGGAGAAAAAGGAATGAGGGAAGTTTGCTCAGTCACCCTGGATACAATCCACTGAAATAATACTTTAACTATACTCCTAGACATCTGTAATGAGAACATGTAGCAGGTTGATTTAACAGCTAATATAGTGTTCCAAAGGTTACCTCAGAGTCAGAATGGACCTTTGCTATCTTATCTCTCTTAAAATTATCTAAAATATACGGAATGAAAATGCACATACAGGTATTTTAGTTCTTCAATTTTTGTTCTTGAGTCTCAAGAAAATAAAAAGCCTTTCTGGACCAAGGAAGTGAAAACTCTGACTGTGACATCAGATGTATTTGTGCTGTAAAAAGCCTTTGTCAAATTCTACCAGGCAGAAATGCAAAGATGATCTGTTAACCACACGGACAAGATACAAGCACTCTGACTCTTGTTTCGCAACTATAAATCTTGCTGATTAGTGACATTAGAAAGGATAATATGGAAGTTATTTCTATTCTGATGGAATTTTCTGCCAGATGTTTGCATTAGTTCCCTAAAACACAAAGCTATGAATACTTCATGTGCATGTATGTGCGTGTAATCCTTTAGCATGCCTGGAATGAAAACACCTTTTGCTATTCATATCTGTTTAGGTATCCTATGTCTCAGGTTTTATATCATTGAATAAATTAATTGTCAGAGGAGTTGAGAAATTATATCTCAGTGAAGTAGTTGCTTTATTTAATGAAGAAAAATCAATAATAAGGTAACAAAAATTTGTGTTTCCTTGATTGGTAAATTAAATGTAATAATTATTCTAATTTTAAAATACTTAAATACTTAAAACTAATATTTTAAGTAATAGCATTGTAGACATTTAAAAACCCTAATGCAGTTTGGGAAAATACATGCTTTGGTGGATTTTAGGATTTTTCTTTTATTGTGCTTCCTCCAATCTAACAAAAGGAAACAGAGCCTGGCAAATTGTGAACAACAAAGGAAGAGTACCTTAGGTGACGTGAATGTTTACTTTTCGGAGGTAAACCATGAAGTTCCATGTTGATGCCAAGAAAAATTGTTTTTAGGATAATTTGTTTTGTTTTTCTTTCCTGATACCACTCTACCCCAGATAAATGTAAAAAAACAACAACAACAAACAAACAAACCCCCCCAAAAAGGGAAAAACCCATATATCTCCTTAATTATTGAATTGATTATCCTCCTTCTCTTCCTTTTTTTTATCATCATCACCAGAGACAAAACAAACAAAACACTTCACACACTATGTAGCATTTGACTCTTCTCAAAATCCTCTAGTCATTTTGTGTAACTGGCAGGGCAAATGCCATCTTTTTATGGATGAGAAAGTTGAACTGTATAGCTCTTTAGGGACATGCCCAGCACCACTTGGCTAATGGCTGATTCAGTTCAAGACCTCTTACTCTTAATACATGTTGGTTATAAGCCAAGCTACATAAAAACAATTACATAAGTTTGCATGTATTCCTAGCAGTTTTAAACATCATATAACATATGCAAGTACTGCAGGATTTGAAGTTTTTCTAAGATGAAATTTTAAACGTAAATTGACATATTCTTTCTTACGTTAATATCCACTTAAATTTTCTCATATCTCCCCTTAATTGCCACCCACCTTGGGGAAGAGTTATGTATAAAAATTTCAGTTAAAAAAGAAACACTGTCAAAACTTGACTTTTTTAAATGTTTATATCAGGATTCACAATGGTATAAATTAAGAAAACATTGAACATCAAATATACATGTAGTCACCAAGGTCTTTTTTTGTCTTTATGTGCAAGAAAATTGGGAACTCTGTTTATTATTTCTGATATAGAAACAATTTTCATAGGCAGTAGAGTTAAAAATAGTATTCTTTTTTTGTTATTAACACTATTACAGGAAGCAAGTGATGTGTCTAGGGCAGCCGTGGGCAAACTACGGCCCACGGGCCGGATCCGGCCCGTTTGAAATGAATAAAACTATTGAAAAAAAAGACCGTACCATTTTATGTAATGATGTTTACTTTGAATTTATATTAGTTCACACAAACACTCCATCCATGCTTTTGTTCTGGCCCTCCGGTCCCGTTTAAGAACCCACTGTCACCCTCGAGTCAAAAAGTTTGCCCACCCCTGGGCTAGCCTATATAATAAAACCCTATTATGCAAATTGACTGAACAGCAGAACAACCACAGAACGACTGGTTGCTATGAGGTGCACAGACCATCAGGTGACAGAGACTCAACGCAGGAGGGGGCAGCTTCTGCATTGAGCATCTGCTCTCTGAGAGGGAGGCGACCAGCGGTGGCAATCAGGGGGCAGAGCCAGCCAGCGGGTGGCGCCAGGCTGTCAGCCAAGGTAGGTGCCAGCGGGGGCCCCCAGATTGTTCCTCCTGCTGGTTGCTCCACACATAAAACAGTAAGATGCCTTTCACTTGTATGAAAAGTATGGTCACTGATGCATGCAGCATCCTGGATTGCGAGAGGGATGTCCTTTGGGATCGGGCCTAAACTGGCAGTCAGACATCCCCTGAGTTGTACAGGCCAAG